GGCTTCCCATTAAGCCAAGCTGCCATTTGCCCTCCTGAAATCTGATGTTCTCTGTGGCTTGGGGAACTGTCCAGTGTGCAAAGAGGGTCTTTATATGAGAGAACAGATGAGATAATCTCTTCCTTGGGGACAGTTAGGTTTTGCCTTAGCACTGTGCAGATATTCAGCAAACCTGAAATCACAGTGGGCTTAACTTGAGTCCTTGTCTAGGTTGTCATGTAGGGTCGTGTAGCTTGTCATCAGAAACAATCAGCTGTTTCTTCCCTTTTGGTTTTTGATTGTTTTATTTCATTTGTGAAAGGACAGCACACAGTTGTACAGTTTCCTGGTTCATTTCTGATAGCCATCTCTCCTATCTCATGCCTCTGACTGTAGCTTCCCAAATGCTTTGTTACAGAAATGGTTATTACTGCTTTACACTGCCTGAGAATAAATACAGGACAGAACCCAGACCACTGAGCTCCCACTCCTCAATGAATTAGTACTGATTAGCAGCTCATCTGTGAATATTGGTTTTTTTTTTTCGTTTTTGCTTATCTCCCTTGTCTGATTAGGTGACTTGTGTAGCTCACCAGCACTGGGGGACCTTGCTGTTGAAAATGCTGCTCAGAATTCCCTTTTGGTGACTGAGTGCTCAGTTCATTTTCATGAATAAATCTCTAGCATCTGATCATCCACAGAAATGAACATAAACGACTTATGAATGCAGCCAAATCAAAATTCAGCTTTAGTTTTCATGCATATTCATGAATATTTCTTCTCACCACTTGCTTTCTCACTGACAACAGGCGTGAGTGAATCTGAGCTGCCAAAGTTCAGTGCCAAAGTTCAGACCTAGCAGGCACTTCAAGCAGATCAGTGTAGCCAACTTGTACCAGTCTTCACTTCAAACTTAAAGTAAGCTGGTTTGAATTTAGGATGTAATTGTCTTGACCAAGTGATTTGGAAAAGATAGAAATTATGCCTCAGAAATCTGAATTGAGAAAGCAAAATGACTTTGTCTCAATGATCTACTGAGTTGAATTTGGACTGGACTGAAGCATCCTGATGTACTGACTGAGTCTGGATTGGGTTGAACTGGATTGAAGCAGACTAGTTTTATTGGCTTCCAGTTCCCTTGTTGTTATTAATGGTTAATAGTGTCACAGTATCCTCTCTATCCTTCATGGATTTTTTTTTTTTCCCACTCTGAGTTTCCAATTCTCAAAAATGCTTGTGGTGCACATGCTAGGGGGAAGCTCAAGTGAGTTGTTTTAAAATGGGAATAATAAAATTAATTTTGTGACATATTGAGGAAGCATTTTCAGGAATATGTGGCTGTAAAACCTAGTCTTGGATGCTGATATATCTAAAATAATTCTTCCAGTTTGTTCTTATGTGCTATTTAGTGTTGAAATTAGTTGTTGTGGCTACTGTGTGCAGGATGCATTGTGTTTATTTCTGAGCATGCATTTCCTCAAAATACATGTTTAGAGTCCCATTCTTGACCCTGGTGACACAGGAAAGCAGCCTGCTGTATTTAAACTTCACCTGGTCTTATGCCAGGGCTTCTTTCTTTGTTTATGAGCTGTTTTATAAGTGTTGTGGGCTGCCTTCTGACATTGGAACATGAGTGGGTTCTCTTATTTCACTGGTTTGTGGTTTGATTTTTTCCATTTGTTACTGAGAAAGCTGCAAATACTCTTTGCGTGCAAAGGAAGTTGAGACTTGTTTGTATGAGGAGAGAAAAATTCTTTCTATAACATTGACTTCTATAACTGTGGTTAGTTCCAGTTGAATTTCTCAAAATTGGCTTCTATAAAGGAAGTAAATATTCCTTCCCAGCCAATTTAGTTTACAGGTAACTATGTAAAAGGCTTTTCCAGGTAATCAGATTAAGAGGAAATGAAAAGCCAAGGTAGGTCAAAATAAGAAAAAACATATTTGACAATAAACTGGCATTCAGTGACTGCTAACTTGCTCTACATACAAGGTGTATGTATCACTCAAAACATGAAAATGCTCAAATTGGTTTTCTGCACAGTGGTATGTTCACCCTAAATGAAGGGTAAAATTGTTCAAGTTACATTTTTTTTTTTTTTACACTATGCAAAACTCAGCACTAAGTGGTTTTCAGCAGTGTGGGTATCTTAAGCTGGTGTTGAACAACTTAGTTTTCAGGTTGATGCCAATGAATTTTCCAAGGTTTTTAGCAGTTTTCTAGAGCTCAAGAGTACAACACTCATTTTGCCTGGTGTTGGGAAGAGATTCCCATGATACACTTCACTTAGTTTATGCTCATTAAGAGGTTATATTTACAAAACAGCCTTGGCTTTCAGATTGTTCAGTGGCTGTTTAAAACTGGGTAAAAGCTTAGAGTACATGAATAACTGTAGGATGAGGAAATAATTCCCCCTTGTCCTGTCACTCCATGCCTCTCCAGCTCTCTGGGAGCCCCTCTAGCTACTGGAAGGGGTTCTAAGGTCTTCCTGAAGCCTTTTCTGTTCCAGGCTGTCTCAGCCTGTTTTCCCAGGTGAGGTGTTCCAGCCCTTGGATCATCTTCATGGCCCTCCTCTCTTCTCACTCCAACAGCGAATATTACAACATAATAGAAGACAAAACCAGAAAAGAAAAGATAGCTCAAGTGAGGCTTTAATCAGATTTACTGAAAGAATCTAATCTGTGATTTATCATGTGACTGTGCCCTGCTCACAGGTGGCTCCAGTTGAGAGAAAACATCTCCCTTTAATATGAGCAGTAATTCTAAACATGACTGGATTTTACTGCTACAACTGGAACGAAAAATTAGCAAAAAGATAGTTTTATTTCCTAGCTCTTATTCCTTGGCCTGCCACAAATGCAGCTGACTTTCAGTGTTGGTTGGGTGACTTGAAGTTTTCCAACCTTCATTTCTGCTTCCCCAGAGCAGAAGGAGTGCTGAACTGGCTGCTTTGTGGTCCAGGTGAGGTGTTGGAGGCTGCAACCCTGAAATGAATTGCTGTGAACATTGTATTTGATAGTCCAACTACTCTATCCACAGTTCTTCAAGTTAATGGTGGTTATTGGACAAAACTGAGCATAAAGTACTACTTACCTCAAGGAGAAAAAGAAGCATCTAGTATTGGCTCTGTCAGAGTTGAGATGCTGGATTAGCTGAGCACTGGATAGTTGTGGGGCTTTTATTTTTTTCCCTTCTGGAAATATTAGCAGCAAATGTACTACATAAATTGTGCAAGTATATCAAAGAGTAGAAATGTGTTCTGGGCTGAGGTTTCCCAATATTAATTATGCCATCAGAGAAGATTTACAAGACACATACAAATGTAGTTACTAACTATTAAGTTCTTTCTGGGCAATAATGGAAGGACAGTAAAAACTGCTTTCCTTCATGTAGCTGTGATTGCAACTACAGTTTGTAACATGGTTTCTAAATTATGTGTTAGATGTGCTTTTTTCCCTACTTTTTTTTTTTATATATTTTTTGTGGATGTTTACATTTTATCTCGTTTACTCGGGTCATGTAACAGCTCTGTTACAAGTGCCCTTGGCACTGCTGCCCCAGAACAGAATGTACCAAAGGAAATAAACGGAAGTATCCTATTTTTTTTTTTTTCCCATGGCTTCTGTTTGCCATTTCTGTCACATTTATTGCAGCTTTGGAGGATGCAGGACTGAAATCCTCTGCCATTTTACTGTGACTTACGAAGGCTAGAGTGCACAAAGCTGTTAAACCAGATTGCAAGTTCTTTTATAGGGGTGTTTTCTTTATATTTCAGCATTTCATTTGCTCACCAACTGTTTTGACTGATTGATCATCTTTGGGTGTTGATTTCAAGGGGAACACTGTGCTTGATCTAACGAAAGACATAAAAAAATGTGGATTGTATCTGTAGCTTGATTTTTCTTTACTTATGTAAATGATTTGTACAAAACCTAATGAAGACCAAGATAGGCACAATTGGCAAGTGGATTATTCAGTTTCATAGTAAATTAGGCAATGATTTTGGACTATTCATATTTTAATATAAGGAAATAAATCCTCTAACTTTTTAATTCTTAGGCTTTTTGTCCACAGCTTAAAATTTGTCCCGGAACTACACCAGTCCTCTTCTTATATCTTGATTTTTTTTTTTTTTTTCTGGTGCTGTATCCCATGTGAGTTAGACCAGCTAACTTATGCCAGTGGCACATGGAACTAGGGCACTCTGTTGTCAGAGGATTTTGTTTGACAACAGCAGGATGTTTCTGTACCTCAAAACATTAATGCCTTCATATTAGCTTTGCTGTTGGGAAACACTGTATTTCAATAACAAAGTTCAAAAGGTTCACTCCGTGGGTTCAAAAGGCACTCCTTGGAATGTCTGTGGTGTTATAAAAACTCAGTGCCTGATGGGTTTGAAAAACATTAAGAGCATATATGTGCAGTTCATTTATATCAGATCTTCATTTCGTTCAGCCATGCCCTTTCCTTGGAGGAAAGGCATTCTCCTAATCAAGTGGAATAATCAGGCTGCACAGGTGTCATTTTTGCCGATCCTCGAAGTTTACCCCAAGTACTTCCTTAGGAGCAACTAAGATTTTCATGTCCTTAACGATTTTTATAGAGCTGTTTTTTTCAAATTTACTGCCAGCAACTTGTCTCCGGCCCGGGAGCGTGCAGGGGTGTCACAGGGAATTCTGCGTAACCAACGGGCCCGATGTTCCCCCTGGTTACGTAGCCAAGGATGTCGAGCGATGGAGCTGAAGGAGTTGGCTCAGCAAGGGCTCTTCCCCGGGCAGGTCGGGGAGGAGAGGGCTGCGCACTCACGCCGGGGGCTGGAGCGGGGCGGGAGAACGGGACAGCTTAAAATGGCCCGGGCGGGGGCAGCTCCTGCGGGATCCCCGGGAACAGGGCAAGGCGCCGGCGGGTCCCGCCGGGCGATCCCGCAGGTGAGCGCGGCCCCTCATTAGCGGCCCCTCATTAGCGGTGGCCGCGCGCGGAGCCGCCGCGCGCCGAGCTCGCGTCCGCCTCAGCCGGGAAGATGCAGAAGGGCTGGAAAAAGTACTTCGGGCAGAAGTCCCTCAGCGAGGTGGCCATGGACAAGTACCTGGGAAGTCTGGGACTCTACCGCAAGATGACGGCCAAGGACGCCTCCTGCCTCTTCAGAGCCGTCTCGGAGCAAGTGGGCAGCCGGCCGGGCTGGGGGGAGCCTGGGGGGCCTCAGGCCGAGCGCCACCGGGGCTGGGCTGGGGGTGCTCCCGGAGCCCCCCCGGGTGCCCGAGGTGAGGTGGCGCGGGGGGGGGATGGAGGGGGGTGTGGGTGTGGATGGGTGAGGAGGTGTGTGAGGATGGGAGCCATCAGCCCCCGGGCGCTCCGACTGCCGCCAGCCCTCACGTGTCCGCGACCCTCCGCACCGCCGGGGCTCTGTGCTGCTATCAGTCTTTGCAAACTGCGGGTAAAATAACGACTCGTGCGAAGCGTGAAACAAGCTCTGAAATTTTCTCCTTCGTTCCTTCGTAACTTTTTATTTTCTTCCAGCTGTTCTCATCTCAAATTCATCATTTGGAAGTTAGGAAAGCTTGTGTCTCCTTTATGAGGCAGCACCAGTCCAGGTTTGAATCTGTAAGTAACTGCGTGGGGCAGCTGTGCACGTGTAGTTAGGCAGAGCTGTGGAAGGGGGGGTGTAGTTTTGCACTAAACGCGCCCACATGAACATGCTGTGCCTTGCCTGGCTTGCCGCGTGTGAGAGAAGTGGCAGGGTGACTGCTTCCTTACCTTATTTGAGTTGCAACCACACAACAAGTTACTAAAACCCAAGTAACAGGGTGGGAGTTATTTGTGTATAATCTCTACGGAGCAGCCATTGCAGAAATGGATAGGTAGGAAATGTGTAGGACTTTAGAGCAAGAAACAAATATCAAAAGATAGTGGAAAATTCCAGTATGTGTGAAATCACTGGATGAAATCGTGGGGTTTTGGGGTGAGTTTTCTGGTTGGTTTTGTCTGTGGCAGTTTGTGTGGGCGCAGCTGCGTGTATGGTGTTGGTGTGGGTTTTGGGGGTTGTGTTTTGGGATTTTATTTGGTTGGGTTTTTTCCCCAGTAATCATATGTAAGTGCATAATCTAAACTAGGAGGGAGATGAGCCCCAGAGTATGGGTCGCTGACTTGTGCTCCTAATTTTTTTTAGAATCTCTTGGTATTTCCACGTTGGTACCCCAAATCATTCCCATGATTTAAGGCAGGGAAGAGCTAAATTCCTGCCCCTGGTCAGGCCAGAGCCCTTCAGAACCCAAAACTGACAGGAATTGGCAGATTAGTCCTAAATTTGATGTTTATGTCCCCGGCCCCTACCCTGCCCCCTTCCATACAACAGCTAGAAGCTGTTAAGTAGTGTTTAGGTTTAACTTTGTTTTCCAGCTGCCTAAGTTTTTGTATTTGTTTTCTTCGTTGTTGAAAGTATGTGGAAGGCTCATTTGAGAAATACCTAGAACGACTAAGAGATCCAAAGGTAAGAACTGATCTAATACTTCTCAAGAGACTAAAATTTGAGGAGACTAGAAAAGGAACGTAATTAGGTGACAGTTTAAAATGTGCTTGAGTTTGCGGTTTTTTTTTTAGATGGACCCCAATCCTGGGGTCTCATTTGCGTAAGTAATACTAAGGATTTGTAGTAAATAACCATGAAAAAATTGTTTGTACAGTACCACTTTTAGTGGGGAATTTGTATGGGTGCAAAGAAGCAATCTCTGTAGGCTGGACAATAAAAGCTTACTCAAAATTGCAATTTTTCTCTAAGAAAAAAACAACATGGAGTGTACTTCACATTAAATGTTTATCAGGGTTTGTAATCCCCTGCTTCTTCCTTTACCCCCAGGTTCAAATGCCAGAGTTCAAAGTTTTATGTCTTTAGTCTTTAACCAGTAAGCTTGATCAATGCCACAGTCTCTGAAAAAAATGTGATTTTAATTTCAAAGCAAATCTATCTTGAGTGATGTGTTTTAAGAGCTGCTGCCAGAACCGTTCTGTTTTACTCATTTTGGTAATTGTGGCTATCCCATCCTGCAGACCCCTTTCACCACACCACACTCTCCCCCAAATCCTAATATCTCAACTTCCAGATTGTTTTAACAAACTGATGAGTTTGGATGGGGGTTTTAATACTACAGAGAGCTGGAATAAAGTTGTTGATGTTGAAGATGCCTCTACTCTTTTATGTAATCTTATAATCTTGCATAGGAAAGTGCTGGCCAGCTGGAAATAAGTGCTTTATCAATGATGTACAAGTAAGTATCTATTTCTTATGTTTTCTTGTTTTGGGTTGATGGTGTGGGGGTTGTGGCCCCAGAACCTTCTAACTCTTTGTCACTGAGATGTGGATGTGTGAAACGTGGTGAGAAATGCTTCCTTAACACTTAACTGACATGTGAATGGTGCCATCCCAGCTCCTGTGGGTTAAGGGGAGGGTCGCTTTTCAGGGATGCTCCTCTGTTATCTGTTTGTTGGTGTTAAACTTTCTGGTGGCTGAAGGATGGAAAATGGGGAAAAACAAGGGGCTGTCTGTAGTGGAAACGCTGTGGTAGTTAAAAGCATGACTAAAACTCATGTGAGTCTTCTTGAAAGCACCAGTAGCGAGGAGTACTTGCCCTACTTGGTGCATAAACCCTGATACTTATTTCAGAGGTAAATTAAAGCCTGCAGAGGTGCTGCTGCCTTGCTAAAAATGCTGCTATCCTGTATCAGGCTGGCTCTCCAGTGATAGAAATAAGAACCCTCCCTTTGCAGGCTCATTTTGCCCCAGTACTAAAGGAACAAACTGAAGGTTGGCACGAGTCACTAGTTCTCTGTACTGGGGTTCTAGTCCTTTTGCAGGGGGACTGGTTCCCTTAGTGATTGTCTTGTAAATTGTAAATTCTAAAAAAATAAATTGTCTCAATGTCTGAGCACCCTTCTACCAGCATAAGTCCTTGATTTCATCTGTGAGTAAATGACATGCACTTTCCTGGATAGTTTTCTTTTTTCCTCTCAAGATGGGTGGTGTTTACTCATCTGGCCATTGCTTTATTGGGAGCATTCACTTTTCAGGAAAAGTACTTCACACGATTTTTTTTGTAAACCATCAGTGGATTCTCTAAACAGTTCCCTGCAAACTTCTCCATAACATGGTTCTACTAAAAGTTTGCTCTTGTAAGTCTTGTTTTTGCTCTGCTTGCCTAGGCGAGACTTCATTCTGTATCGGTACCCTGGAAAGCCACCCACGTATGCCACAGACCATGACTTTGAAGACAAGGTGAGCAGAAGTGAGGGCAATTTCCTCCTACCCCTGCTATCTACTTACCTTCAGTCCTGCTTAGTTGTAAAATCTTGCCACTGGAATTGAGCTCTTGAAACTCCAGTGCCCTTGCATATTTGAACAAAACCGCAGAGTTGACTTCGGCTCACAGAAAAAGCACAGGATTTGCACAACAGTTAACTCAGTTATAGCAGCTTTGCTTCCTATCTGAGCAGTGGATTTGTGTGCTGTTCCCTGTTCTGTTACTCCTGCTTAATTGATTTTGATAGCAAGAGTTAATATCACAACTCCGGAATATTCTTTCGTGTTTCTGAAATCTTTGTGTAAAAACACTTCCCAGGGCGAGTTTGAATAACCTGACAGCACAGAATGAAATGTGTTGAGTTACACCAAGATACATTTCTCATACTGGCAAATAGAAGGTGTTCTCCCCACCCCTAGTGCCACTTCCTGAAGTCAGATGAGGCATGCAGGTTTTTTTCTTGAAGAGGAGAAGTTAATGGGATTTGACTGATCTATTAAAGCTGATTTCTGTGGCGTACAAACTGATGTGAGTTAAGGATGGGAACTGTTGAAACAGCTTGTCTACAGCAGAATTACTGCTGGGGGCAAAAGGAAGGAATATAGAGGAGAAATGCTATGTATTACCTTCCCTCTGAGCCCTCTTGTTTTCTGCAGCCACGCAGATGTGGCTGCACAGTTATGGGACTAGTTCAGGCACGATGCCAGTGAAGTTGCTGTGGTGTGATTTCAGTGTGGGCTGTTACATTTGCCAAAGTGGCCAGTCTGCTCTGAATCTGTGCTGCAGCCAGCAGCTGTTGATTTCTGCTGATTAGTATTGCTTACTTGGTTTACACACACTTCTTTCTTCTTCTTTGTAGTTTTCTGTGTAGCTTAATTTAATTCCAAAATGAGCTGAGTTTAAAAATCAAGCAGTATGGTTTAAATGTGTGTTTGTCCTCCAGGGCTTTACAAACCAGAGCTCTCATTAAGTGTTGGCAGCTGTCTGTCATTAGACTGTACATACAGGCAGCAGCTCCTTCTGGTGTTGCTCATCCTCACCGTGAGAGGAGAGCTTGTGTTGGCAGAATACCCAGTGCTCAGAGAATTAAGAGCCCTGGCATCCCAGCCCCTGCTGGCTCTCTGGGAAGCATCCTTGCTGGCAGTGTGCTGGTAGCTGCCTGACAGCTTCTGCTGGTTGCAGTTGGCTCTGGCTGTGTGCCAGGGTGGGGTTTGATGGCACACATTTACACGGTGTGCCAGGGCATCTGCTGCAGAAATCTGCATGCACCCCTTCAAAAAGCAACACAATACTTTTTATTAAAAGTGAGGCTTTGAGGGCTAGAGAAATAAAAGCTCTTCTTGTCCATCTCATAAAGAAGGATGAAACGTGCCTTTGACACTTGGACAGTGTGTCTCAGGGGTACTGCATTAAATGGCTTGTACTTATTTTACCTCTTGAGCAATTGGTGGTCTTGGAAGTAAGGTGGAAACAAACTCATATTTCATGTTTAATACAGCAGGATGTACAGATTGATGTTTTTTCTATGATAGACAAAATTTAGAGACTTTACCTAGGATTCAGTTTTAAGCTGATTCTACAGCTTTTTCATATTTGTATTGAGAATATTTATTGTTTTCTTGGTGAGTTGGTGTCAACTATAGAATAAAAGAATAACGTAGTCTGGAGCTAGGATATCAGGTAGAAAGAACTTGGATTTACATAATTCCAGCCTTAAAGCTTTTTTTTTTTCTCCCCCTTTATTTTTCTTTCCCAGATTTTACTGTGTTGTTCCAGCAACGGCCATTATGACTCTGTGTATACAAAACAATTTCAGGAGAATGCTGCTGTTTGCCAGGGTAAACTTGAAATCATTTTTCTATGAAAGAGAATTACATGTTTTCATACATTATAGGCAGGGTTTGTTTCAGCTTTCAGGGCTGGGGAGGAGAGAGATGGAAGCTCATTTATTGTACGTTAATATAACATACACTCATTTTTTTATCTGTTAAAGTGGGATATTGGACGAAATGACCTCCAGAGATCCCTTCTTCCCACCTGAATTACTTTATGATTCTCTTCTTAATTAAATTTCATATGACTAGTGCTTTGTAACAGTAGATATATCTGAAGATATGCTTACCTTGAAAATTGCAGGGGTTCTTATGAATCTCATGTTATCGAGGTTTTTGTTGATCAGCTCTATTATATGAGGTCCTGTACAAAGGTGTGTTTGGCATGGATGAGGAAGAATTAAGGTCTGCAGTGGAGGTGTTTCGAAGTGGATCCAAGAAGAACAGAAACAGTGGTCGTGTAGGAAGTGAGGATGCAAACTTCGGTTGTCTTCATGAAAAAGTATCCAGAAATCCATCAGAAAAGAGGTAGTATTTTTGGGAAGGGGATCTGGAAAAGGGAAGAAAAAAAATTAAAAACCTTGCAGAGGACAACTTTTCCAAATTTCTTTGATTTTTTTATGGATTGTTAACTCCCCTTTTGCTATGTCATGACACGAGCACACACCTCAAGTATGTCGTGGAAGAGTAAATCCTGTGCTTTCCTTGGAGCTGAGAAGTATCTTATGATTAAATATATTCTGCTCTGGGCTACGTTATAGCTGTGTCTTACTCTGTAAAATGACGGCTTCTTTGTAAGGGAAATTGTTCCTTATTTCATCAAAGCTTTTTTATTGTTCGGTTTTTTTTAGTGAGACAGTTATTACTCTTCCGAGCCTCTACAGCTCTGAAAGGCTTGAGAGCTGCCTCTGGCCAATGCTAAATGCTTGCAGATGACATTGGGACCTAGAACAGGGTGTCTTGTACTTGCCAGTGCAAGAATTCAGTCACTCATTGGGATCACCCTCATCCTTTTCTAACTCAAGCAGTACCCTCATTAGGAGTGGATGTTGGAACAAGTAAAGGTTTTGCTCTTAAAACTTGGAAAAGGATTGTCCTGTACTGCATTGCACATCACTAGTGTTTAAGGCAAAATCTACCACTTGATGACACCATGGTGCTTTTTCAGGTTGTATGAGCAGTTGGTTGATTTTAATGCTGGCTAGAAATCCTGTGTTGTACTTGTTGTAATCTTATTTTCAATTACTTAGGGTGGATGACTGGGAAGGCAATGGTGCTGGCAATCCAGAGGAAGCTAAGTTCAAACAAGGCATTGAAGAAGAAAAGGTTTGTCAGTTAGAGAAGAAAACTTTACAGTTTGTTTTTGTTTTTTTTTTCTTTTCTGTTGTATGTTGTTACCCTTGTCAGGGCTAAACCCTCTTCTGACTTTCTAAAAATGGATTTTTTGGAAGTAGGTGGTTTATTTTTTCCATCTACTTTTGTCTTTTGGTTTTGTCCTCCTTGAGTTTCTATTAAATTGGATAAGCCTTTTTCCTTTCTGAAATTCTCTAGTTCTTCCCCTAGCTAATTTTCATTTCCACTGGAAGATGGAACTTAGCAGGTGTTTCCTGGTCTGTTGTTTGTTTTTCCCCAGAAATGGTTTAAACCGGTTCACTTTTCTCTTGTTTGTAGTGTGGACTCCATCTGTAGAGTTTTAGAAACTCTACAAAAACCTGTTTTCAGATATAATACCTGAAATTCCCACCAATTTCTGAGGTCATGGCTTCGTGGGTCTGGTTAGATTCCTTTGATTCTTTTTGAGTAAAAAAACATGCCAAATGTTACTCTCAAGCCTGTTTCTACTTTCCAAAATCTGTTTGCTCAACACCTGAATATCTAAATGTGTTTTCATATTCTTGAGTTTCAGTTTTTAGGGGATACAGTGGAAGTGAAAATTTTGGAAAGTAGCATCTGTGCACTTTAAAATGATCCACAGGTGCTGACAGGTTAGAGGTTGTGCTGAACACATGAAATGCACTTGTTAATGTTGCCTTTCAACTCTGTTTTAGCCTTCAGAAAATCCCCCAAAGATGCCTGTTCCTTATAAAGTGCTAAAGGCACTGGACTCTGCGATCTATCGAAACGTGGAGTTTGATGTTTGGCTGGACAGCAGAAAAGGTATCTTTGAAAAGGGGAAAGCCAAAAAACTCTTCCTGTAGGTAGGACATGTTCTTACCAGTAGCTGCTTTCTTGTCTGCAATTCAAAGTACTGCTTTTGATACTGTGTAATGGTACAAGGTTGCTAAAAATCTGCTCTCTGCTACTTACTGACTGTATACAGGAAGTAAGAGGACTCAAAGCAAAGTACCCAACTCTGTGTTGCCATTCTGTTGTATTGGAAACCAACCAAATTTGAGAATTTTTAGTTACAGCACGTGTGTAAGGACTCCTTTTTATAGCACGACTTTGGCCTCAGAACTGTATAATAACGCAGATCTCAAATTTAACGTTGGGATCTGTCAGATGAGTTTTTCTCCTGCTTCCCACCCATCGTGGACTTCTACATTCTGGAGAGATTGCACGGTCTTTGTGGCTTGGGATAGGTTGGCTGCTTTTTGGCATACACTGTGACTGATCTGTAAAGCAAGAAGTTACCAAGAAGGATAAGTTTTTAAGTGATGTTTGATGTCTGACCTGATTTGCTTTGCATACTGAAGAACTCCAGTGTTTTAAAACTGTGTAAGCAGTAACGTGGGTCATTAAAATTCTTGGAACAGAGTGTGGTAACCAATTATCTATGTGGAACACTGATGTGTGGAGAATCCAGGCAAGGAATTGAGAGAACCCCACTGAAATCTGGGACCAAGGAGACTTTAGGCAATGTCAGCTTTTCTGGGATAACATTTCACTTTTGCCAAGTGCCACCAGGACTCTGTCAAGACAAGATATGCCCAAAATTCTTAATACCAGCATTTGCACTAAATGTGGGATTAACTCTGTATCACCACAACGACATTGTAGCATTGAAGCAGTGGTGTTACTTACTGCATTATCTGGTTATTATTGGTCTGTGACTTAGCCTGGTTATGGTCTGTTTTAGAACATCTGCAGTTACTTCACTGTTACTATGGGGAATGTTTTCAGGTGTACATAGGAAATGACAGTTGGCCTATTAATTGTAGTTGGATGCTGTCATGAAGTACTTTTGGGATACAAGAAGAAAGAACAGTAGTTTAAAGGCTTTTTTTAATTTTTATTTATTTATTCATTTATTTTTAGAGCTTCGAAAAACTGACTACATGGTGTTTGCTGGGAGACAGTACTATTTAGGAGACAAGTGTCAGGTTAGTACTCAAAGGAGACTCAGTTATGATAAACTATTAAAACTGCTTAAAATAGAATATGGTAAACCATTTTATTTCATAGAATTTTCCAAGGCTTCTCTCATTCTCTTCCATGTAGCAATTAATTTGACTTTCTTTTTAATGTAATTTTTTTCTAAAATCTCCCTTTAAACTTTGGGTAGTGTGAAGGAAAAGCAGTTTGGAAATTCATTGTGAACCAGTCATACACATTCTGTGTGTGCAGGCAGAGAGCTCAAAATGCACAGGGTGTGCTTTTGAAGGTAGTTGTCTGTAGAGTTTTTCACTTGGGTATCAGCAAAAATTCTGGATAGTCTTGTCTTTCTCAACAGTGATGTAGCAAAATACTTATATAAAATAGAAAGGGAAGAGTAGCATGATGTGGCCAGGAGATGCTGAAAGGAAGGTCAGTTTTCTTTGTATTCTGATGTTGTATGTAGTCAGGGCTTATTTTTTTTTAATCACTGTTTAAAGTAGTGCTGATGATTCACTTAGTGACTTGTTTCTTGCTGAGCAGAGCTTTCCTTTCCAATTTCCTTTTTTATCTTCTGTTCTCAAGTTCTTCAGTAGTAGTCTTCCTTGGTACTTATCTGCTTAGCACAGTGTATAAAAATAAGTTAGGAAGCAGGTATCTTGCCTCTCTGTCACTCACCAGACTGATTTTATTTCCTTTTCCCTTCCTTCCTGAAGGTAGTACAGTGCTCTTTATTTTGCCTGTAATTTCAAGAAGTATTTGAGACTCCTGGGCCAACTCAGTAACACAGGATTGGCTGGGAGCAACCTTTGCTCTTAGTGGTTTGTAGACAATATTCTGATGCAGTTTGGGTTTTTTTTTAGAGCTCCCCTTGTTCTCTCTCCAGGTGCGTCTGGAGCCGGGAGAGAGGTATTACAATGCTCATATCCAGGAAGTTGGACAGGAGGACAACACGTTGACTGTATTTGTTGTGGAGCTGGCAGAAAAGTAAGCAATCTGCTGATTACTTCAAGTTTGAACTCTTTCTAGTTGAGTTTCTGGGTTCACAGATGCTTGAAATGGGATTGTCAAGGTACTTGGAAAAGAGAACTTTGGCTTTTAAATGAAAGTGAGGCATTACTTGCTTACTGGCTGTCACTCTTCAAAGAGAATATTGCAGGACATTTTTCCTCTTGAATTTCTAATGACCAAAATCATTATTGTAATGCTTTCTGTGGAATCTTGCTGCTCTTTATTCACTGGAAAGTGAAAGTGATCTTTGCAGTTTGGGCTTAATTCACAGATACCAAATTACCCTGGGCTGTTGGTTGGAGTTTTTATGTTGTACCCAGACAACTAAATAATTGGCACTTCAGTGAATCGAATCCCTTTCTCCCCCTTACTGTTTAATCATTCACCCTTTACCAGGCAGTAAATAGGGTTGAGACTAAAGCCTAGGTTGCCCCTTTTTATTAAACAAGTAGCAATAATGTGTGCTTGGTGTCAGAGAAACAGATTATTTATTTTCACAAGCTATTATATTTTCTGCTGCCTTGGTGTTGCTTCAGCTTACGTTGCTGTGCAGTTATGCCCAGTGTATCCTTGGGGCACTGCTACCATCCCTGTGTTCTTTGTACAGACATACAGTTCCTTTGGCAAACTTGAACCCAGTGACTCAAGCGGCTCCTGTCCTTGCTCAGAATGTGGCTCACAACCGAAGAGGAGGAGCCTATCAGAAAATAACAGGTGGACACTTCTCAGGAATAGGTTTGTACAAGGTTTTGAGAAGCATTGGAGCTGGGGGGAGTAGGGGAGATGCTCGTGACAGTTGTAACTGTAGCAATCTTTGGATATTGGAAGTGACTTAATTCAGATTGTGATACAAAACTTGGTCGCTGCAGGGGTTTGATGTTAAGTTATCTTTCAGACAGAGACGAATTTGCCTTTGCAAAAGAGCAAATCCACTGAAATACAGAGCAAATTGGTGATTGCTCAAAATTACCAAAAACAAATTTGACTCTTGAGAACCTTATATAAAGACTACATCAGTGAACCAGAAAGCTTGTCTGATTTGGCATTAGCAGAGATGCATGGATGGACTAGGGCTTCCCCAACCAATTAAATTTGGATTGAAATTGTTTGATTCAGAGGAGTTGTGGTTTTCTTATTTTTATTAAATAAGTTCAGCCTTCATAAAGAGATTTTAAATACTGACAGTACTGGTTTGATTAGCTGAAGGTGGGAAGGTACTTAACATGTGAGATGCTTGTGTTCTCATAATGTAGAATACCTGCTTGAGCCTTCAAAAGAAGGGCCTGAACTTTGCATAGCTATGATGCACTTTTTCTGTCACAGGCTACTGGCTCTTCCTTTGCCATGTGTCCAAATACTAGATCTTCTCAAATGATAAAGAGAATGTAGCTCAGGTTTAAGGTGTAAATCTGTCTCTTCTGTCCTCAATGAAAACTGCAGAAACGGGTATGAAAACACAAAAGAGTATGCTTAAGAAAGTTCGTGGAAAGGAATTGGCTTATAGCAGGGGGCAGCCACTTCTTCCACCCCGCCTACAGCACAAAGTTCCTTCGGGGCGCTCTCTTCCAGTTCACTGCTCCCAGGGTGGCGCAAACATGGCACCTTACAAACCCTATCATCAGCAGGACCCTCAGAGACATCACCGTGGATTTGGGATGCTGAGGTATGAAGTCTTGAAAAGCTGTCTTGAGGTGACCACTTGTTTTCTATTCATTCTTGCTGCAGACTAGTTAGGAGAGAGTTTGTGCTGCTTAATAGGTGAAACCACAGCTGAGTTCCACCTGAGAGGCACTTCCTGGTAATTGCACCTTTCCCCCTTTAAACTCAGGGGATCTGCCCAATTTATAAACAGGCACAGCATGGTTGGCCCTCAAATAGCATTCAACCCCAGTCCAGGAAAGAGATGTTGTCAGAGCTATGACAATTTCTCCTACAGGTCCTGGTAAGTGACAGTAAACCTCTTCTACCAAACATTGCTCAACCAAGCACTGGGGAGGATGGTGGGACATGAAGGGCTGAACTGGCTGTTAGTGGCGCAGAGGGGTTCTTAAAAAGAGTTAGAAATGAGCACCAAAACGGTGGTGAAACTGTAGGTGGTGGTGATTCTTAACCTCCTTTCTTGTTCCTGAAGGTCGTACAGCCGTAGCCGCCGTCAGCTGCAGAGTGAGAATAAGGAGTGTCAGGATGGGTTTATGGCAGGGCACGGAGAGGAGCCTCAAGGGCCAGAAGAAACTCTGACTTTCTATGAGACTGAAGGAGAGAATGATGCTGCTTTTTCTACCTTACCAGTAAGTTATGAACAAAGGGTAAGCTGAAACCTCTCAAAGAGAGAGGAGGAGGGAAAAACTGTACAAATGCACGGCACTTCTTTACCTAAATATGCAGCAGCTTTGGGGTTTTTTTTCTTGGAATAAGGCTTAGCAGTGAATGTCTTTGAGCATGGAAGACTAAAATTAGTCGAGATCCTGTAAAATCTGCTTAAAACCTCAGTTTTTCGAAATATTCCCCTTCTTTCTCTGTATCCTCACCAGCAGCACTTGTTTTCTTATTAGTATATTTTCATAAACATAAAGCAGTGTTTCTCCTTTCTATTGCAGTTTGAAAACAAAACAAAATCTCTTCCTCCTGTGGATGTCTGTCTCGCTCTAAATGTTGTGGGAGAAAGCTTTTCACTTATTTGCCACTCTATAATTTATTGTTTGAGTTATGGGATTCAGAAGCTGTATGGTGATAGCCTGGATTGTTTCTGTGAATTTGTAGTTGGGTAGTTTCGAATTAGCATCTTGTTCCTGCAAGAATGTATTCTGCTATAGAAACAGGAAAAAGTACGAATCTAGGCTTCTCATAAAACAGTCTTTCTGTTGATTTGTAGATAAAGTGGCAGAGTGTATTCTTAAACTTTAAAATGCATCTTTCTCTTTTATTTGTAGTCCAAACCTAGTCCAAAGCTGGGTGTTCTATCAAAAAAAACCCACCAAAAAACAACTGATAAAGAGGTATCTCAATAGGAAAGCAGATCTTTTAGAAACAAACAAAAGAAAGCTTGGTAGGTTTGAATTTTTTGAACTGTATTAAAGCAGAGTACTTAACAAATGTCTTTAAATGAGGGAGAGGGAGGGTGCTCAGGGTTGCTTCAGGAGCAGTCATTTTTTCTTTGCCCTCATGCACTAGATCTTTAATCTCTGCTCTGATTTTTCTCCAAGAGTGTCAAGGAATAAGGACAGATTATCCTGCCATTTCTTCTCTCCATATGAAATCAGTATTGCTTCCTGGGCTTTTCCTCCCCATTGCTAGACCGTGTACCTCCAGCTCCCAATGAATAGGTTTTCATGTTCATTCACTGACTTTGGTATTGTCAATGCCAAAGATTTTTCTCTGTCTTGTTCAGTAAAGGAATATGACATTTTCTGGGGAAAGATGCATCTCACAGAGAACTCTGCCATCCTACTAGAGGCCTGATGGGATAATCTTCTGACTTACAACCTCTGCTTCAACTTTGGAAATCTTTCAGGCCTCTCTAAACACTTTATCAGTCTTTTATGTCTTCTGAGGAGAATTTTGAGTGTCACCTCAGCTATCACAAAAGAGTGAATCGAGTTCTTTTACTCAAGCATCTCAATCCTATAGTCCTGCTTCAGAGAACTATATCTTTTAAATTGTGGTGTAACTAGGTACTGACTTCAGTGCAAACACAAAGGGCATGTAAAATGTTGGAGTCCTTTGGGAAAACTTGATATGTGCTGCTGTCTGAAACAGTCAGGCTTGCATGTGTGGGTCAAGTTCATGCAGACAGTGGTGTCCGTGCCAGCAGTAACCCCTGGGTTTCACTGGTGGTGACTAAAGATAACCTTTGTCCATGATAATTGGAGTATTTGGATGAACTGATCTGCTGTTACTAGATCAGATGCTCCAGAGTGAGGAATGCAGTAATACATGTTGGAGGTAGCAGTCTTGGCTGTTATCTGGGGTCTCCTTCCTCCTCAGCTTTGTTAGAGCTGACTGAGTTCTGGGAGGAAGCAACTTGACTGCATAGCACAGAACACTGGTAGGTCTTGAAATAAAAAATTGCCTTAAGTATTCTAGGCAGAACAAAAGATAAAGGAAGAAAATGTGGCTGCAACTGTTATGTGGCAATCAAGTGCATAGGAATGGACACACAGATGATACTTCTAGTAAGCTTTGGTTGCAGAAAGCTTCATCTGCCAGCCTGTTGCTACTGTGTGTGTGCATCTGTGTGGAGCATGGAAAGGCTTTAAATTATTTCTAAATGCATGCTTCTGAGTTTGCTTTTCAGAGCCAGAGTAGTCCTGCTCCCACTGTCCATAGTCCAACAGGATTTTGGGTAGCAAGGAGAAACCAGAACTCTGTTTCACCTAACAAGCAGACCCTGAATTCCTCAGAGGAGGAGGAAGCAGTAAGTGAAAATGGTGAGTTCTTAAGGGATTAGTAGGCAAAAAACCAGATTTATAAATTTTTCGATGTGCTTTTGATTGTCCAAGGGGGGTCCTTACACCTCCTAGAGATCTTTGTTGTGAGCTCTGAATATGTGTGTGAACACATTATATTTCTTTGTTGTCTGATACAAATGTGTCTCTTCTGTTTAAGCTGCTACACCAACACCTTTGTGGAGGTTTGTAGCAAGTTAAGTTGCTGCTTAAAAATGCATGGTGTAAATTTGGTAATGTCAACCTTGATAACACCATTTGTTCTTCCACCAAGTAGCTTCAGAGTTTATTTACTTTTTCTGCACAAAGCAAGATGATACTCAAAACATGTTAGTAATGGATGCACTAAAATGTAGTTGTAACTCCAAGCTTTATTTTTTCCCCTTTTCTTGAATCAAAGCTTCCTGTTCTATCTCCCTTGTAGGAAAATTTCATGAAGAATATATCTATACACTCCTAGGTAAGTAAAAATGTAGTCTTTACTGATAGAATATTTGGTGAATGTGATACTAAGACATTTTTATACGTTTCTGAAGGATTAGATTTAATGCAGCTCTTTTCAATTAATTTTGCCTGTGCCCTCCAGATCCTGACTGTGAAACTGCAACAGTATTTAGTTCAGCAGAACCTACAGCAAACTTGGTAAGCTTTAGTCACAGTCTCTTCAGATGTGGGATCCTTGAGGTGTGTAGTATTCTTCACAGGAAATGTCCTTGGATGCAGGCTTAACACAGCAGGTCAGAGACTTCTTAGAAAGGCATGTTGGTTTCATTTATACATTCCCCCTCCTTTTCTCCCTAAATAGTGAGGTTTTTATCAGCAGTCAAGTTTGAATTGCACTGGATACATGCATGATTTTTCATCTTTTGCTCTGTGGAAGAGAAAATGTCTATTTGAGTGCTGTTTACTTTTCTTTTTCTACTCCAGACAGCACTTGCTTTTATCATGCTGCCTTTCAAGTTGTATTCTAGCTAATCTTAGTCCTCCACTGTGGGACTGAAGAGATCTCATCTGTGATAGAACTGACCTTGGAGCTTTATTTTTTCAATTTGAAACTAAGTCTTATTCACCTGCTGCTCTTCAGTGGGTGTGAAAGCAGTCCTGTGCATGTCAGAATAAAACTGCTTTTACTCGAGCTATGGAAGATGATCTGTGTGGGTGTATAGTCCATAAATAAAAAAACAAACTAACAAACAAAAAAAAAACAGGAGTGTGGGGTGTGTGCCTCGTGGCTTCTTTGCCACTTAAATGGACCATGCTTGGTTTTGGAATCCCTTCAGGAAGAAGGGCCTGTCTGGGTGTCACCTCACGAGGAAGGGGCTTCCTACAGCTATCCCCAGAAGGTAGTATCTGGTACTTTATCTCCTACTTTATCATGGTAGCCCTGTGGAGAGGAAACCACTCTGCTTGCATTGTGTCAGTTTGTGGGGGTCCCCTACAGCATCTTACAGCAAAGATTACAATTTGCTGCAACAAAACCAAGCAAAACAGAAGAGCCAGAAGATGCCTTGCAGGTGTCTGTAACTTTAAACTGGTATTTTTTGAGCCAATTTTTAGAGAATTTGGGTAGTTAGGTGCCTTTACAGCTAGGATTTCCAAAATGATTTATATAAAGTGAGAATTTTTGAAGTATGTGGTATTTCTGTAGTCTCTGTCAAAGCCAGTTGCAGAGGCAGTCTGCTGAATACTCTGACTCTTTTCCAGGTGTTGGTGAACTCTGCAGGAGTTTCAACCTCCACAGATGTTTATACTGCTCCAGCTACAGGCCTCTCTTCAAATTCTGCTACCTCCACTCCAACCAGTGTCACCACAGCAACTCCCCCCCAGACAGCAGTTCAACCTGTCATAGTATCTCCCTTTTCTGTGGGGAGACCAGGTAGAGTGTACAGACTGCAGCCCTGGACTAAGTTTTCAGTTATTTTGCCCTCCCTCCCCTCCCCCATCCAAAACAAATGCTAAAAGGTTTAAAAACAAAAATGTCACTTGCTTTGGTTTAAAATGACTTAGTTGTTGTTGTAACTTGATTGCTGACTTTCTATTTTGAGGGGGCAGTTGCCCCCAAATTTGCATAGGAATTGGAGGTCTCTGCTTTGGGTTTTCTCCCCTTGCCACCTTTAGCCAAGAGTTTTGCTAGAAAGTTCTTTTTAGAAGGCAGAAGTTGATGGAAGCACCCTGGAGTTGAGATACTGTTCCAGAGGCTTTACTGTCTCTTCCAGAAGAGTCACTGGCTGTGATGTTTCAGGATTCACACAAGTGTCAGGTTCATTTTTGTGACTCTCAGTTAATTCTGTGCTTACTTATTTCTGCGCAAGGAGATCAGATTTGTGGTTGGTCACATAGTGCACTTGCCCCCTTAGATGTATTTGCTTTAACATCCTGGAAGTGTCTGTTAAAAAATTCTTTTTCACTTCTTGCAAGGAGGAATTTTCATGTCTTCTGTAACTCTTCGTTTAGCATCCAAAAAACCTCCACCTTCCATTCTGCTCAGTTCTGTCTCACTTTTCTTAACCTTTTTTTTTTTTTCCTAGTCTGCTTGAGAGTTTAGTCAGCAGAGCTCTCAAAGCTGTCTGCTCACCAGTGCCAACCTGCTTATGTGTTATCCCTTCATACCTAAGGAATGTTTAACAGTAGGCTGCCCGAAATATTTTTGGCCTGACGTGTCTTGAACCTTGTCTTGTTTTTGTGGGCTTATTGTCACACTTCCGATGACTTGAAGTGATTAATCTGTTCTCTGTTGTTCTAGGGCAGACAATTATGTAAGAGAAGTCTGGCCTGCCTTCTAATATGGAGAAATGATTGAAAAAGACAGTTTTTCTTAACTGGGATATGAAGCTTGCAGATAGACATACAATTAAGGCTTCAGAGATCGGAACCTTCCCATCTGGTTTCAGAATTTCTTCTGGACTTGTTTTAAAGCGATTGCTAAAGAGAATTTTGTTAGAGCCTGAATTTAGGGGCACTGTGGTGACAAAGTGCATGCTTAATTGTGTAACTGAGCACCTTGTTCATTTGACATACCATGGCAAAGTTGACTTTTTGCGTGACATTTGTTTCCTTCCAATTGCAACAGTTTCTTCGGTGCCGTTCCCAACTTACTCAACTCCTCTTCGTCCAGTGAGTGAGGTGGGACAAGCTGGTGCTGTTCTTCCAGCTTACTCTTGTGATCCCAGTGGCAGTGATCTGCCTCGAGGTAATGATGGTATTTTGTGCTTTTACTCCTGCTGCTCTTCAGCACTTCTGACTTGTGTTCTCCTTGGAAGCTTGACAGAATACCAGTAGTGAGAAGAAATAGCTTTTTGCAGCTCACAGGGAGTGAGAAATAATATTATAGATGCTTATGCTAAAACATTTTAATTCCCAGTTTTGAATAGAAAGTTTGTATCTGACTCAAATGTATGATTACTGCAGCTCTAGATGGCACCCTAAATAAATGAATGTCAAGGGAGAGGGTGCTTGGCCTATAACATACTGGTTTGTGGCACAGTAATCATTTTTCTCATAACTGATTAAAATAATTGTATTTATAAAGTCATGCTGTTGCACAGTTCCGTGGGCTGTTTTTGTTGTGCTCCAAGATGTCATTCTGTGGGCTTAAGTGTAGGGTCATCTTGTTCCTTGTATGTGTAGCCTTGTCACATACTGTCATCAGATAGGACAGTGTTTAAGGTACATTTCAACCACTGAGCAATGAGTGTGCAGAGACCAGGCCTGCTGCTTTCACAGGTCCTGTTGCTGTGCTCTTCAGTTACTCTGCTGTCTTTGCCTGTGCTCTCAATTCCCAGATTTGTTAATCTTGAATATTCTGTTTTCTACTTCCCTGCTGTGGTACCATCGCTCTGGCTGATCCTGTAACATCAGAGTTCATGCTTTTCAGCTCGAGGCGAATGCCCTTAGCTGATGCTTTCAGCACTTGGGAGAATTGGGTGTTAAGTGTGCTGACAAGGAGCTGGAGTGGATGTGGATTAATAACCTCTTCAGACCCCACCTGTAGCTCTTCAGCTGAGTCACTCTGCATAACATTGGCCACGTGCTTTTTGGCACAGACTCTAGAATAAGGATCTTAAGGTTGCTAATTAATTGCATGTAGCATTTATGTTGTTAGACTATATGATAATCTGAATGGCCTTTAGATTAAGAAATCCAGCAGCTTTGGGGTAGCATAGGGTAAAGTATGTGGGTGTACTTGATCTGGAGTTCTGTGTGCTTTGCTGAAGATACCTGCAGGCCTGCTATAGATGGGGACCATGACTTGTCAGTAGACCTGGACCTGGGAAGAAAACCTGCTCTGTGCCTTAGCATTACTTGTATCTGCATTTGTTCCAGTTTTCATAGTCTCTTGGATCTTGTTTTAATGGCAGTTCGGACTTACAAATGGTCACCTTAGATGTCCTACCCTTACTTGGTCCCTTGTATTTGAAGGAGGTGTTGATAAAAGACTGCTTGATATAAGTGTGTTCCAGAGACCACAGCAGTGTTCAGGGTTGACCAGAGCTTCCCATCAGCAGAGTAAAAACTTTGTCATGAGATGAGCTTTTAATCAGCAGTCAACATGGTCTTTGTATTTTCATCAGGGGTGGGTAACTTTCTTTGGCTTTGCTATTGCTTCATAAAAGTTGTAGTGTTTTACTGAAGACTTACTTGATTTCTGGACATCTAAAACAGGAATATAAACGAAGACTGGTCTCCTACTGTACATGCTTCTGTTCCAGCGTTCCACAGACAGCAGTATTTCCAGTATCAGTGTGTCACTTCAGTCTCTCAGCTCTTCCTTTGTGCTGTTATCACTGCTATGAAGCAGCTATTTCATTCTGCTCTGATGCTTGCTTTGCATAGATTTGCATAAACAAAGAATAAAATTGGATAAAAAAACCCCAACCAACTTGTTCCAAATGTAGATGCAGTTTCAGCTAGATGCTAAAAAGTTGGCATTCATGTAGGCCTTTGGGTTATTTTTAGTGTTTTAGTGACTGTGGTCAATGTTAATAGCCAGATCACCAACACTTCCAGGACTAAGCTGACATAAGGATGGATCTGTGTGCACTTCCTAGAATAGCTGTGGGGATTGTTGGCCTGATCAGATATGCTGAACATTAAAAGAATTGAAAATTGGCAGCAACGATAGAGGAACAAGTCCTCATGCATTTTAAGACAGGAGTTTGCATTGCTGACATTGTGCCTTCCTGCAGCAAAATACCACATGCAGTACCATAGAGGAGCGGGGCTGGGAATGTTTGGGACATGGGTGGATAGGGAAGCACTGTTGATCTAAGGCCCTGGTAGAGAATATAGGTAACTCTGAGGTGTTGCTGAATTGAAGCCCTTAGTGACTTGCCCCTTTTGAGTTGTCTCCCTGCTCTCCCTGTCAGCTCCCAACTGTGCTAAAGCAGAGTTTGTGCTGTGCAATAGGTGACTTGCTCTTCCTGAGCCTTTAACACAAAGCTGTATTGCAATCTAAGAAAACAACTTTTTTCATGCATAGTTCCAGAACTGCATCATGGGATTAAACACCTGCTCTCTTTTTTTTTTCCTTTCAGAGGTCCACTCTAAAGGTTTAAAACTCCTTCACTGTTTTTGGACAGTCAGAAATATGTTTCCAAGTTCAAAACCCTGTTGTGCTTGGAAAGTGCTTTCAAAGTTCCTCCACACATCTGATATCATTTCTCAGCATTTCATGTACTTGCCTGGGGACGAATGATTCAGTACATGGAAGACAGAAGTAAAAGACTATTTGCAAGAAAGCAGGGAACTGAGTACCCTTGTGAGGAAGGGGAAGGAAGGAATATGTTCCTATTCCTCCTTCCCTGCCTCTGTTTTCTCACTTGATATAACAACTGGGGAGACCCCCAAAACTGGGTGGGAAGGTCTTAGGGTCGTTGTGTGTGTGGTCCCCATTGACATGTCTCTGTGGCCATGGCTCAGCAAAGCTCTAGAGGTGGAGGTGGTGGCAGAGACAGACTAGCCCTGGGCAGCAACAGTGTGAAGCTGGAGTCTCTGTGGAGCTGGCCTGTTGTCTCGTGTGCCAGCCCAGTGAGGGTATTTACAGTACATGGGCAGTGTACAAACTGTGTATGTAACAGCTTTGGTGAATTGTCACTGAGAGGTGTATGAGAAGGCTGCTTCTGCCTGTCTGCATGCTTCCAAACCCTTTCTCATTTCTGTAGTGAGGGAGGGAGAGCCTTTAGTGGTCAACTTCATTTTGGGACTCATCTGATTTCTATTTGAGAAAATACTTTTTCCTTTAAAACCTCAAGATTAATGGGAAACCAGATTTGCTTAAATCCTAGTTGCTTAGACAATGGAAACGTGTAACAACACTGACAGTTACCATTTGAGTAAACCAAAATCAAAGCTAATGTAGTCACTGAAGTTAAATAATAAGTTGGTCAGACAAATGCTCTACTATTGCACATACATCTAACTGGATTAAGTTAAAAAGATAAGGTAGCATTAACAGCTACTTCTAGTCAAGATACATTGTTTACCCTTGAAACTTTAAAAAAAAAAGTAGTGCTAAGATACTCTTATTCATTAAGTTAAGAGTAGCTTAAAGTAATATGTTCTTAATGTGTGCAAATTGCTTTTGCTGCTTGGTTTTTATTCCTCTGCTCTTCAACGTGATATCCTTTCATTTCAGATACAAAGGTCTTGCGGTATTACTTTAATCTGGGATTGCAAGTAAGCACTTTTAAAATGAGTATAGTAAAGTGCCTGTAAAAACTGCTGGTTTTCTTGACAAATAAAGTCACGTATTGAACACTTCTAAGTGTGCTAAGTGTGCATCCTGTGCTCCTGACTGTTAATACATATTGGCTTGCTTGGCGGAGATTGAAGTGTGACTCAGGAAGTGAAGTTCTAACTCAAAATATGAAGCATGCTGTATGTATATTAAGTTATTTTACTCTGGATTGTGGTGGTGGTTTTTGGGTTTGCTTTTGTTTTTGCAGGGGATGATGAATAAATGTTGTTCTTTCAGTGAAGGTAAGGCAGAGAACCTGAGCCCTTCTTAAAAACCTTTGTGTACTTAGACAAGACATCAAAGACCACTTAGAGATGTGTGGTTTGAGTCTTCTAGGACTTGTCCAGCTGTGTTCAGACTGTGTTAGCACCATTTCTTTGTGTTCTGGAAACTCTTGCTCTGTTGAAGAGTTGTTTCTCTTCCAGTAGTCATATGCAGTGTCAGTCTGCTGCTCAGGGAAGTAAAAGAAGTAATGTGAACTTTTTCAAACAAAGAAATGTTAAAAATCTTTTTGAATATGACCAAGCCAGTAGGTGGGAATGTTCTTCCTCTGTAAATACTTGTGGCATAACAACAGTGTGGAACTGAGCTGGCTGTTGCTGTGTATTGCAATATCGTTTCTGGTAGGCAGTATTTTTTTATTATTATTTATTTGTTTGGTGTTTCAAGGGGCTAGGGAGGTAAAAAATGCACTTTTTCCTAACTTCAGATCTGAACTAGTAGCGATTTGGAGGAGGGGACTATGTGTTTATATGCCTGACCTTGTGGGGTTTTTTTCTTTTCCTCTAAGTATTGCCATCAGAGCTATTGGCCTTCCATGGTGTATGCACAGCCAGTGCTGCCTCCATCTTCAGCAGAAGTTTATCCAGCATATGCTGAGCCAGCTCCTGCCTTAGATCAGTCAGTACCTCAGATCTTCACTGATGCTCGGCAGACTGAAGTCCAGGTTCCCTTGGAAGCACCAGCAAATGGTTGGTATTTGAGTCCTGCTGTGTTCATAGTAATGAAAGACAGCGTAAAAAGGCCATGAATGTGGTTAAAGCCTGTGTATGTGCATTTTGTTCTGTTTTTTAAGGTAACTTTCCAAATGCAGAGCCTCCACCCCTATCCTATGGACCAGTGCATTACCCAGTTGTGTCATACCCCTTCAACCAGCAGTCTCTGCCTCGGTTTGACACTGTGGTTCCTGCCTACCGCTATATTAGTACCTGGCACCCAGTAAATCCTGCACATGGAAGTTCACCACAAATGGCCAACGCTGTAAGTTCAGGACCACCACACCAAATCAGCTATATTGCCTCACCTAACCCTGTACCTCATGACATGCCTCAAGGAATGTAAATCTGGGAGCTGGAAACTCATTCTTGGTTTCTCGTTTCTTGTTTGTCAACTGTTGCTAATATATTTTTGTAAATGTTATCCTGTCTTAGGGGGCTGAGTCAGTTGATCAAGCTGCATTCATATTTCATGTTTAGGTTTATGCTCCTAGTTGACAAGATGTTGTTTTAGTTGATTAGGGAAGCATAGGAAAAGGTACACACAATCTATAATGCAGGGAACACAATTGAATGTGGCTGCATAAAGTATGTGGAGAAAAGCGCTGTCACTAAAGGCGTGTATCTCTGAGAGGTTGCACTGAACACTTGAACACCTGGTTCTTGTTGAAGCACTGAAATAGGCTGCCACTACAGCTATAGATAAAAATTGGGCATAGAGTCATTAGAGGGTGAAAATGTTTAAAATAAGTTGGCTTTCTCAGATTTTGCAAAACAAAACTGCTTTGCCACTGGTGGTCACATTTATAATAGCTGTATTTCTTCTGTCTACCTTCATAGTGCATAGATTTCATGACTGGAAATACAAGAATAACGTTTTGATCTGTTGTATATTTGTAAGATTTGTTTTGTGGAAGCTGTTGCACATATGGTGATAGTCTTTGGTGGTTAATTTACACTGACAGCACAAAATAAAAGCATTGAACACGTGAAAACGAGTGGTCATTTATCACTGGCAGATAATGTTCCTGACAACTAGTTATCCCACAGCCTGGACCGAAGAAATGTGGTTATGTGGGATAAGGCTGCTCCAGCCCTCTATGAAATGGTAGCAAAAGCTTTCAGTATGAGAGTGGAGTAATTCCTGGTAATTGCAGTTTTTCCTCTTTAAACTTGTGGAATCTACCTGATTTGTAAACAGGCACAATGTAGTTGGCCCTCAAATAGCATTCTAGTCCTGTCCAGGAAAGAGATGTTATCAGAGCTATGACAACTTGTCCAGCAAGTCCTGGTAAGTGACTATAAAGTGAGTATGAGAAACTGTCTGAAACCAGCAGAAACTGTAGGTGGTGGTGATTCTTAACCTCCTTTCTTGTTCCTGAAGCTCATACAGCTGTAGCCGCCGTCAGCTGCAGAGTGAGAATAAGGAGTGTCAGGATGGGTTTATGGCAGGGCACGGAGAGGAGCCTCAAGGACCAGAAGAAACTCTGACTTTCTATGAGATTGAAGGAGAGAATGATGCTGCTTCTCCTACCTTGCCAGGAAGTTGTGACCAAAGGATATAAAAATGCGTAGCCCTGCCCTGGCTTAACAAACACGGGCACAAGTGCAGGTTGTGTTGGCTCAGTGCCAGAGGCCCTGAAGAACAACCTTAACTTGCACGTGAACTCAGCATTTCAGTCTCTGAGCCTGACTCTGAAAGCTACAGCTGCCAGGTTTAAAACCTGGGCAGAGTATCCAGCTGCAGGTGTCCCAGCAACCCTTATCCCTCTCCTCCCCATCCTCCATGCTGCCACAAGAGCTGGTAAAATCTGACCCACTGCATCTGCCAGATCTTGTAGGGGATTTGAACCCCCACCCGAGTGCAGCTGTCTCAAGTGCTGGAAGCACTGGGATAGCCCTGAATTTCAGTTAGCTCCAGGCTGCCAGGCTGAAATGGCTTCTGGCAGCTCCCTGAACTCTGGCACGCTGTGGTTTGCTCCAGATCAGGCTGGTGCAGAGCCTCAGCTCAGAAGGGAAGGAAAGATAAGATATTAATAATAAGATATTAGGAAGAAGTCCTTCCCTGTGAGGGTGGGGAGGCCCTGGCACAGGTTGCTCAGAAAAGCTGTGGCTACCCCATCCCTGGAAGTGTCCAAGGGCAGGTTGGAGCAACCTGGGCTAGTGGAAGGTGTCCTTGCCCATGGCACGGCCGTTGGATATTTAAGGTCCCTAGATGATGTTTAAGGTCCCTTCCATCCCAAACCATTCTGTGACTCAATGATTCTATGAAACCTAATGCTGAGATGATGTTAGGGTTAGGGTTAGGGTTTGGGGAGATTTCTGTGAGTTTGTGGTCTTTTTTGGGGGAGATTTTTGTGAGTTTATGGTCATCTTTTTGGGAGATTTGGGTGAGTTTGGTGTCATTTTTTGAGGAGATTTTTCTGAGTTGTGGGTCATTTGTTGGGGAGATTTGGGTGAGTTTGTGGTCATTTTTAGGGGAGATTTGTGTGAGTTTGTGGTCACTTTTTAGAGTGATTTTTGTGAGTTTTGGGACATGTTTTTGTTTGATTTGGGTGAGTTTTGCGTCATTTTTTGGGGAGATGTGGGTGAGCTTGTGGTCATTTTTTGGGGAGATTTCTGTGAGTTTTGGGTCATTTTTGGGGGAGATTTGCGTGAGTTTTTGGTGTATTTTCGATGGAGATTTGGGTGAGTTTATAGTGTTTTTTAGGGAGATTTTTGTGAGTTTGTGGTCATTTTTGGGGGGATTTAGTTGAGTTTGTGGTCATTTTTAGGGAGATTTGGGTGAGTTTGTGGTGTATTTTTTGAGAAGATTTAGGTGAGTTTGTGTTCACTTTTGGGGGAGATTTGTTTGAGTTTTGGGTCATTTTTTGGGGAGAGTTGTTTGAGTTTGTGGTCATTTTTTAGGTGACAAACCAACCGAATTACTAAGCAAAAGCTTGCAGGCCTTCTTTCCTGGGGATAAGGCCTGTTGTTTCCTGTTTTCCGACCTGCCTCCCAACTCCCAGTCCCACTCCCAAAATTGCATACAAACAAAGATTCCTCCCACACCAAAGATACCAGCACAGAAAACTCTTGCTGCCCACGGACTCTCCAGGTTGAAAAACCCAACTACAACAAAAAACATAACTTCCAGTTGTTCTTTCCTGGGGATAAGGGTTGTTGTGTGTCCACCCCTTATTCCATACCATTTACGTCATGCCTGCTCCCACCTTTTCCAAAACATTCCATCACCACCTTTCCTGTAATTTGATAGAAACTCACAGATCTCATTATTTAGTGTGTGAACTATGTCTATAAAAGTCTGTTGAGTTCATTTAGCCCATGGTTTTGAGCTCCGTCTGATATTATAATACTCTGTGAGGACTGGAATAATGGTGTCTAGTGTTGGATTGTTCCATGTTGAAACCAGTTCTTGTTCCATCAACATTCTACTTCTCTGGTCTCATCAAAGTTCATTGTTCATTACTCTCAGTGATTTTTTTTGTAATACCCCTGACGTGGCAAACAGCCAGCACAGAAGTGAGAATGCATAGTGTTATTAACATTATACAGTTTTATGCATTGGCTATTCTCACCCAAAATCAAATCCCCTTGAGGTGCCCACTGCATTTCCTATCCTCCTGAAATATCCACCAAGTGGACCCGTGTCCTTGAACAACATAAATCCCATGGGTGGGTTTGCCTTTGCCACGTTCCCAAGGGAGCGTCTTGAGCGTGCGCCAATATTCAGGGTTGGCTTGCGGCTTTGGGGTATGGTGGAGGTGTGGTGATGGAGGGGATGGGTGTGTGTAATGTAGTATTCTAATCTTGTGTTTGTATTGTTTCTCTTACAGGGTTTTTTTTTTTTACAGCATTTTAACTTTAGAATAAAAAAACCCCAACCGGGGTTACTGTATTGTAACTTGTATGCTCTTCTGCATTGTAACTAACTTGTGTGCTAACCTGAGTTGTAACCTGTATTATTGTAACTTGTATGCTGTTCTGTATTGTAACTTAACTTGTATGCTGTCCTTTATTGTAACTTGTATGCTGTCCTGTATTGTAACTTGTGTGCTGTCCTGTATTGTAACTAACTTGTGTGCTGTCCTGTATTGTAACTAACTTGTATGCTGTCCTGTATTGTAACTTAACTTGTATGCTGTCCTGTATTGTAAA